CTGAAGCAACTAATTAGGGTCTTCAGGATCACTTAAAAATTAAAGGCAGGTGTCTTTGATTAGAGTTGGAGCTAAACTTTGCAGGACAGTCGATCGCCAGGAGCAGGGTTGGGCACCCCTGGTGTAGTGATTCTGTGGTACTAGTACTCTGTCTGGCCAGTCAACCATTGCTGCTCCCTGCATTCTTGATGTCGTTTCTCCTTGTTCAGATGGTCCTTGAACAACAGTTTCATCTGCTGGCCCAGCTCTTCTGCCAAAGATTTATTGCATTGCTGTGGTTCTTTGTCCTTGTTGTTCCAGACAGCCTCGGTCTGCATTGGGGTCTGATGTCTTTCAGTTCTCAGCCCATGGTTGTTCCATTGTCGGATGAAGGCAGTCAAGTCTCTGTTGATCCTTGGCAAGTAGACATAATGAAGTGCCCAGAGATGCATTTAATTGTCTATGTCCACTATACCTACACTCTCCAGGAAGTGGAAGAGATTATATGCCCGCCACATGTCACCCCAGAGCCTCTCAATATGCTGGTTATCTCTGAGCCCCTGAAAATGTTCATGATCACACAGACATCATTGTTTTCTCCTCCATGATCTGTTCGGACCCTAGCCAAAGACACTTGCAGAAGTTAACCATTGATTGGGTGAAAACCGTTCAAACTTACTGGCTGTGGAAATCAGTGGCCGTGGCTCATTATACTATGAGCAAAACGCCGTAAATGACGTGCGCTCTGTGCAACCAAAATGCCGTTTTTTACACCGTCATATAGCAATATGAACGGCGTAAAAAGCGGTGCTTTTCATGCACACTAAAACGCCGTCAGATATGGTGTCATTGAAGTATTTTCACGCTTTTTTACTGCGTTTGCAAATACTGCTCAAAACACCGTATTTGACGGCATTTGGCTGTAAACACGATTAATCTATAGCGTAATTCTGAACCTTTGGGTTTGCCATATTTCCGCGCTCGCTTGACTCGTGCCTGGCGCTGAAGTGAAGAGGAGCGCGCGTCTCCCTTTCTCAGTCGTTCTGCGACTGAATAAATGCACTTGTTGTCAAGAGAAAAAGTGACAGAAGCAGCAGTTGTGAGTGGGGTGGCCAACCCTAGCCCTGCCCCTGTGTTAATTGCGTTAAATATTTTTAACGCGTTAAACTAAAAAAATGTATCGCCTGCATTAATACACGCTAATTTTGACACCACTAATAAATACATAAATGTGGAAATAAATACATTTATAAATAAATAAATAAAAGGAAAAATAAATAAATGTGGGGAAAAAATCAAGTCAAGTCACCTTTATTTGTATAGCTAGCACATTAAACAATACTGATTGTGTCAAAGCAGCTTTACAGTGTCAAACAGGAAAGTAGTTATAAAAATAGTCGATAATGCAAGACAATAACAAAAAGTCATTTTTCCAGCTAAAGTGAGTTCATTGAGGCTTCAATGATGTCATCGTCCAGTTCAGCGCTCTTCCAATAGTGTCTGTGCAATCAGTCAATAAAAATATACATACGGAAATAAAAGTATAAATACATATTTATTTTTTACTTTTCTTTGTATATTTATTTGTGCATTTTTACATTTCTTTGTATATTTATGTATTTCTAATTTTGTCAGGTTTGGCATTCCATAGTTGCAGAGTTTGAGCGTATAAATACCATGTAAACGTTTACCTTCTCTCTGAGTCTTTCTGATAGAATTATCTTCATTTCAATGGTTTTAACATCACAGATGATGTTGTGAAGAAGTCATTAGAAGCCAAGCACCAAAGGTGCGTAGGCACCTTTTGTATCCGTTAGTTTTCTTCATCTTCTTTCGCTCTGCAAGTCTATGGCAGCCCATAGAATCGTATGGTAGACAGTTGTGAAATTTGGCATATAGATAAGAGGACAGTCTCAACAGTAACCACAGCAAGAAGTCTAGCACTTATGTTTATAATTTGCTTATAAGTTTCCCTCTGATTCCTTGGCTCATGCTGAGTCAAAATGCATAATTAAAATTTTAGCTGGTCATTTCACCAAAATTAGGTTAGATCATCATCAGACCATGTTGGCAAAAATCAATGAATAACATATTCTGACCAAACTTGGTACACGTCATCAAACGCATCACCTAATGGCTGATTTATACTTCTGCGTCGGACCTACACCGTAGCTTACGCATAGACGCACACCCATACGCCGTAGCCTGACGTGCACCTCTCCAAAAATCTAACAGCGCGTCAATTCTACGCAGACCGCAAGCGCTGTGATTGGTCTGCAAGAACCCCTCCCTCCATATGTACTTGAGTTTTGTGTGTGTTTATGTGCAATTTAATATATTTTAATGTTAAACCTTCTTATATAAAATAAAACAAAGCAAAGAACAAGTGTCTTATCATTTATTATACTACATAGCATTATACATCAGTAGTTGTCCGCAACAAACAATGTTGATCTGCCGTGGTACAAGTCCTTGTGCAGATTGAAAGAATGCCATCATCTCCTGTTCCGTTGTTGTCTCCTTTTTGTAGTTTTAAATAATGATTTAATGATTTAATATTTATTTGCCGCCGTCACGGCTATAATGCTTCTCCGACGAGCCGCTTCTTCTTCGGCTTTTGCCGTGGTACTGCGGGTTACACCAGCAACATGCCCGTGGACACTGCTGACTAGCGGTTTGCATGTGTACTGCACGTTGACGCGGACAACGACGCAGAAGTATAAATCAGCCTTTACGCCCCATTCACACGGGGCGTCAGCATTAACGCTTGACGGAGGGCGTTTCTGAAGCTTGGTGCTGACGCGACCGTCATAGTGACAACAGCCAATCACATTAGTCTTGTGGTGTTGCATGAACGCGATTGGCTAGCGTCTGCGCTAGGGTATTTTCATAAGGTCATCTGATTGGCTGACGCCTGCGTTGGCGCTTGAAAAGTTTTCAACTTCTGCCGCGAGCAACGGACCCAACGTGACACGACGGACCCACAATTCATTTCGCCAACGTTTGACGTCACTCCAAAGTAAACGAGAGGCATTGACGCTGACGCCCCGTGTGAATGGGGCGTAAGGCTACATGCATTGTTTTAGCACAGTGCCACCTGCTGGTCAGGAGATATGAAAAATGGCTATTTTTGCTAAACTTTTTAACAGTTTGTCATTAAATCATAAAACTTGAATTTTGTAGTAATATGCTGTATTTTACAGATGCATTAGAATATCATTATGAAACTTGGTATGTGTCATTAGGACCATACTCTGAACGGACTCAAAGTTTTGGAACAGTGCCACCTTATGGTCAAAATTTAAAAAAAAATGCTAATAGTTTATATTTATAAAATAATTCAGTAAATCCTACAATTTTTTTTTTTTTTTTACCAACGCTTTATCTCTTGTGCCCTGCTATTTCACAGCTTTCTCAGTCAACCTCTCAGGCTGATAAAAGACTAAAGTTAATAGAGTTTTGTTGCCTGGTTTTGGGTATCGGACAAAACTCTGCTTACAGTGCTGCTGGCGTGGATATTCATATCTAAACATTTTTATCAGCATATCAGAACAAACTAACATTTTTGCCATAGCTGGCAGGATGGAATAACAGAGGAACTGTTATCTCTATCAAAGAATCAGAGTCTGGACTTATATTGGCCCAATCTAACAAACAATCTTCATTATTTATGCACAGATTGTGTCATTTTATTTATATTTTTCCATTAACATTGTTGCATTTGACAGCAAGACAAAAGTTGAACTAATATTTTAATTCCGAAGTACCAATCTATGAACTGATGAAATGGAGCATCACTGAAATGACTGTATTAGCTGCTCAGTGGTCATGTAGTTTCCCACCATGGTAGATGGTTGGTCAGTTCAAATGGCCATGACAAAGTTCATATGTACATGACAAAAGAAAATAAAAATTTCAAGGCAAAGTATAAAGAGGTGATGGATGCAAATAAAACAATTGTTGATGCAGTTTGACAATCAGATTTGGTCCACATTCACTTGTGATTTGAATGTAGCCTTCATTTCACACAGATAAATATTTTCTGGTGCCATTTTAAACTGCAGTCATTTAAAACACTTTACACACAAAGAACATAAATAGGGTCTCACATCTGCATGAGTGTGGCAAATATTTATTTATTTTTTTGTTACACTGATCACAATTCAATTGCCTTCCTCTAGAGCAGGGCTATTCAATTAGTTTCGTTTGAGGGCCGGATTATTGAATTGAAAATTTGAAGGGGGCCAAGGGGGAGGGGGGCCGTCCCGATCTCTTTCTGGGGGGCCTATAAAATTAGAAATTAAATTTAAATGCATGCAATATCAACTAATATGACCAACATCTATAAAACAATTTGTGCTGTCTATCAGTCGTTTAAATGGTTTTTTTTTTCTGTAATTAATCATGATTAATTGCATATTAATATGTTGTCATAATTTCACATTGAACCTCCAAATTAATGCAGAAACTAAAGGTGGTATATTTTAAATATGTTTAATGGCATCTCTTTACTAACTAGCCTATTATTAACAAAGGCCAGTATTTTTGATACCAATACTGCTACTGATGTCTCTATTAAATGCATTTTCACCTCAATGTTAGCCATTAATTATAGCCATTCAACATTAAAGTATACTTGAAAGACATTATTTTTAACATTTAGTAGGCTCTGAAAAATATAACATTTAATTTTGTATTTTTTTTAAAGGGTTATGGCGTTTTATGCCTTTATTTAGATAGGACAGTATAGGTCGACAGGAAGTGAAGTGGGTGAGAGAGAGGGGGATGGGATCATAAAGGTCCGCGAGCCGGGACTCTAACTCGTGACACCCGAAGCGCAATGGCGCTGTATGTCAGCGCGCTGCCCACGAGGCCATCGGCGTCGACTATATCATTTAATTTAAGTGAACTTAAAACAATCTTAAACTATAAATTGTATTTTATAGTTTTGGCATAATTGTGTGTTTTTGTCGGTTGACTGGCGCTTGTCTGAAGCTGCTCAGCGTGTGCGTACAGCCGAACGCGCAGCCTTTCAAACTGTACTCCATCTGATAATCATCTTCGTTCAGTGTCTGCGCTATTTCTCGCCAGAAGTTATGACCGATAACACTGTCTTGAAACTCGTTTAAACTAGTGTTGAGGATATCTCATAACCCTCTCACACAAGCGCTTGTCAACACTGCCGTCTATTGATGTTGCGGTCTCCGGTAGTTTGTTGTTGTTGCGTCTCTTCCTTTTCTTGTTTGGCTGTGAAACCACGGCCTGGGACAGTGATGCCACCTTGTGGACAAATTAATTAGTGCAAAAACAATTCAAGGCGTATGTGCGACCTGCGCGTACTCTTCCCTCGGGCCGGATGAAGATGATTGGCGGGCCGCCAATTGAATAGCCCTGCTCTAGAGTGAATGCGAAGGCAATTTTTGAAATTGCTCCTTTTCGTTAACCTTGTCACACTCGCAATTTATTTTCAGAATGAGTTTGCAAATGACGTTTCAGGTCTCTTTGATATGTGAAACTTATCTTGCACTGAAGACATGTGAACGGCTTCTCGCCGGTGTGAAGTCTCATGTGAGTCTTAAGGTTTCCTTTAAGTGTGAAACTCTTTCCACACTGAGGGCAGGTGAAAGGCTTCTCTCCTGTGTGAATTACAATGTGAGTGTTGAGGCTTCTTTTATGACTGAAACTCTTTCCACATTGATGACATGTAAGACAGTTCTCTCCTGAGTGAATCCTCATGTGGCAATTCAGGGTTTCTTTACATCTCAAACCCTTTCCACACTGACCACATATGAACGGCTTCTCTCCAGTGTGACTTCGCATGTGGGCATTAAGACTTTCTTTTCGTGAGAAGCTCTTCCCACATTGTTTGCAGCTGTAAGGGTTCTCTCCTTTGTGAATTCTCATGTGGGCATTAAGGTTTCCTTTATGTGTAAAACCTTGTCCACACTGAGTGCATTTGTAAGGCTTCTCTCCAGAGTGAACTCTTAAGTGGACTTTAAGGTTTTGTTTTTGAGTGAAACACTTTCCACACTGTTGGCAGGTAAAAGGCTTCTCTCCATTGTGAATTCTCATGTGGACGTCAAGGTTTTGTTTATTAGTCAATCTCTTTCCACACTGACGGCAGGTGAAATAACTGCTAGATTCTGTCTTCTGACCTCTTTTTCGTGAGGAAGTCTTCGTCTTTGTGGATTTTTCTCCAATCATGAAATCACGTTTCTGGTCTTTATCTTCCATTTCATTTAGTTCTTCACTGTCCTCTTTTAGTGTCATCAGGTCTAAAGAAAGAAAAAGACTAATTCAAGTTAACCCCAGTTTAATGGCCCAAAGCAACAGACATTAAACATTAAATTAGACAAAACATTAAAGCATCTCAACCAACATGTATGCTAGATCCTATATGCACTAAGCTATGAAAGAGGTGTTACCTGTATTATCAGAATTCTATTACCTCAATATTTTTTAACTTGTTACTTTCTTTAGGACACGCCCAAGCTTGCAGTTATCAAGCCCCTTATCATTTGACCCAGAATAACTGGTTCATTATAGACCAATCCCAAATCTGCCATTCATATCTAAAATATTAGAAAAATATTGTCCACTCAACTGTTCAGTTTTGTAGAAAAACAATATTCAGTCATAATTTAAAGAGACTGTGCTTATTAAAGTGAAATTTCTCTTCTCTTGCTATTAGATCTGTTTGACAACACAGACCACAACATTCTTTTGAATAGCTTGAGAATTATGTTGGCTTTGGTGATCAAGCATTAGCAGTTTTGGTCCCATCTATCCGACCGCTAACACTTTGTTTGTGTAAATGAAGAGACGTCTCCTCAAACACAAGTATTGAGTGCCACAAGGCTCAGTATTAGGTCCTCTGCTTTTCTCCTTATATATGCGTCCCCGGGAGTATGTTAATAGATTTAGAAGTAGAAGTAGGACCAGTGTCGATAATTAACAGGATTGTCAGACAAAATTTTCCGGTTTTTATATCATACGAGAATTTTTTTTTCTCTAAAATCAGCATGTTTTCATTTGTGATATTGCTGTTATACAATAATTCAATAAACAAGAAGTTAATATTAAGGAACTATAGGCTGTGATTGGTAACTTACTTAATATTGAGACAGTCGTGACCTAATGGTTAGAGAGTCGGACTTGTAACCCAAAGATTACAGCAGGAATTGTAGCTCTCTTCCACCTTCAATAACCATGACTAAGGTGCCTTTGAACAAGGCACCGAACCCCCAATTGCTACCCGGGCGCCGCAGCAAAAATGGCTGTCCATAGCTGTAAGTAATAAACAACACTCACTTACAGCATCAAATACAAGCTTAATCTCCTTGTAAAAATCCACCTATAACAAAAATACATTGAGTTTGTTCCTTACATTTACATTGCGGGTCTTAATGCGAAGAATATCCCACACGTGTGCTGCCACATGAAATTCTGGAGAAAAACACTCATCTAATGATAAACTTCTAATGGTACATTTAACACTGATATTGACAGAAGATGTGAAAGTTTAGTACGGAATTTGTCTTTGATTTTAACTGTTTGTGTTGCTTACAAATGTTTTAAGAGTTTGATTTAATCTAACTATTATATTGCAGCTCCTTTAAATGAAGAACAAATGTAGACGGCATGAAGTAGCTCCACCAAGCTGTGTCAGCGGTCGAAACGCTTTATTAGTATTAGTTTTATTTGCATTAATATTTATCTGGCCATGTGATCTCAACATGTCTGTGCACATGAGGCGACCCGCTTGATGTCAAATAAAACTGCTTTAATTAGGACACTCATATGACATTCTTTTCACTCATTTACGTAGGTCAACATTTTAACAAGAATCAAATGTCCAAATTCAGCTTTGAGAATGGAAACCAACCTGTTTGTTCCTCAGTATCTTCTTGTTTCACTCTGAACGCTTCTTCAATCTTAATTTCTTCACTCTCCTCTTTAATAATTGCCATCTTTTAATAGTGCGTCATGTAGATCTCGTAGTGCTGTTCTCGTAGATCTGTGCTTTGAGAATAATTAACAGAAAGAAAATAAATCCAAACTAAATCTCTGGGTGAATCTCAAAAAGCTCCCTGGTTCGGTGGTCAGTAGACTGGCAAAGGGGTCAGTCAGAGTGACAGGCAATGGCCCTAAATGACATTATTACCCGTAAAACACTAGCACTACAAATTAATAAAAGAACACAATTTATACATAAAGTCCATATATATATATATATATATATGTATGTATGATTAATATTTGGTATTTAATGCTTTGTAGATCACATTTCTTGAAAACATTTGCAGTTTTTGTGTAGTCTTTTTTACACTTTTGTGTTCTCGTTGTATTTTCACGGTTTTAACCTGCAGGTGTCGTCAGCGTGCCGTGACTAGATTTGAATCATTGTGCTAAGTAACTATTTGGTTCAATTCACTCGGAGTTTCAAAAAGCTCCGTTTCTCCTAACAATACATGCCAGAGACCGAGTTCGTGTTTGCAGCTGCTTCACGATACACAAAAAATCGTTCATTAATGTTAAGTGAAGCATTTCAATGTCGCATTCAATAACAAATAGTCCATTTTACATCGCTTGTAAAAAAAAAAAAACTCTAAATAGACTGAACGCGTTTTATTGATTTATACACTTTAAACGATTAAAACCACAAACCTTTCTTCAGCAGAATCACAGGCGCAGGAGCGCGGCGCAGCCTTATGTCGTCACATCGCCAGACCAAAATAAAAGTCCTGTAAAGTGCACAGAAACTTACAGTTCGGTTAGGTATTCAGAGTTTTATTCGTGGTGAAATGTGTGTGTGTGTGAGTGTCTGTGTGTGTGTGTGTGTTGTCCAATGATGTGATGTCCTGATAATAACTACCATAAAAAGAGTAGTAATAATAATATTTTTATTTATTTTGCACTTTTCAAATATAACATGCTGTTCAAAGTGCTTTACATAATTAGAAATGACATCAACAAATATCAAATTCTATCAAATTTTGTCTTTAGTCTGTGGCCCTAATAATGGTTTCAGTTAATGTAGCATGAAAACCTCATACCATTGCAACCCTAATAACTAGGTTATCTTTGTGAAATGCCACCACACCTTTGGTGATCATTTTACATTTCTGATACATTTTACATTTTGTAAGAATATTTTACATTTCGGTAAGCATGTAGACCTGGATACACCTTAGGACCCCCAATGGTTCCCAGGGACTATTTAGTTCAGGCCTAAATTGAGGTAGTAAATGTTACTATATTTACAAGACAACAACAAACTGTAAAGAAATATGTTAATAACTTATCATATAATATGGTATTTGTCAGCCATTTCGAGGTCCTGTAAGTTGCTCAGTGATAAACATTGCCCTTTTGCAGGTCTACAGTCAGAGATGCGATTTGTTGGCAATAATAATAATAGCTGTTTAATAACAGCAACATTTTCTTTCAGATGTTCCAACTGATTATTATGTGCTGTTCTGTTGACAAAGTAAGTTGTAACTCTGAATATATATATATATATACTCTTCTTTCATTTTTATTCAAAGGTTAGATGTGACGTGATGTGTGGCCAAGTATGGTGTCCCATACTTTGAATTTGTGCTCTGCATTTAACCCATCCAAGTGCACACACACACACAGCAGTGAACACACACACACCCGGAGCAGTGGACAGCCATTTTTGCTGCAGGCGCCCGGGTAGCAATTGGGGGTTCGGTGCCTTGTTCAAAGGCACCTTAGTCATGGTTGACAAATGTAGAATTTCTCTTTTTTTTTTTCATGCTCCACCCCACAGCTCTGGTGCTACCAAATGAAGGGCTTCTGTTGGTGGTACCTGGATCCCTGACCCACAGCAGTAAACATCTCTCTGTAATGCCACCCTCCCACAATCTCCTATATTCGTATATGATCGTCACATTTCGCCCCCTAGTGGCCTACTTCTTTACATTGTGCAAACTTGACATGTATTAAAGTTATATTTTCTCTAATTGTGATCACAGGTGAAAACTGCATCAGAGGGGGAGGACTTTTCTGCTCCCTCATATACTGCAGGGACAACTTTGCAAGTACATGCAAAAGATCTCCAGAAATTCGTTGACTCCTGCCCAAAGCTGAAAGGAAAAATTTACAGTATGCCCATTAAAAATACATTTAGAACATGATTTGTTTGTGTTTGTTTGTTTTTACTGTTCTTTGTATAAGTGGTTGTAAATTAGTTTTTTTCTGCATTCTAGTTCTGTTCTTGGAAAAGTTTTGTTAAAATTTTGTTAAATAATAAAAAGTATTTGATTTATAAACTTTAGTGACGATGTGTGACGATGTGACACTGCCTCGACTGTGCAAGTGACAATTCCTGTGTCAACTGTGCAGCGTGCAGCTCTCTTATAGACAGACGCAATGTGTGGTGATTTTGAAGCCAATTGCGTATTTTAAGAGAGAAAGAGCGATCGCGCACGGTGATTCACTCACGCTGTTTGTGAAATTACGTCTCACACAAGGTTTTCAAATTACTTTATAAGTTATTCAATGAAGAAATATGAAGTTGAGTACCTCACCTTCAGTATTATAATGATTTCACCCGCGCCGGATTAGAGACCGCCGATCAATCATCCCAAAGCGATTATCGGCCGATAGTGATCGGTAGCCCATCAATCGGAGCACCCCTAGTCGAAAGAAAGAACTAGAAAAGTGGGGTTACATATATTCAAAGAATAAAATTAATTTAAGTGTCATTTTAAATCACATTTTCCTTAACATTTAATTTATTGAAGAGTTAGGGCCAAAGAAAATGTTTCGAATAGTTTTACTGACCAACATAATTGCATTTTGAAAATAAACACATTTAGATTTTGATGGCTGCAATATGATCCAAAAAGGTTAGGACAGACACAAATATATATATATTTAATTATATAATTATTATTTCTTTTAAACACCTTACATTAACTTATTTTATTTTATTTATTTTTGTTATTTATATGCCCTTTTTTCCTGTTATTTTCGTTATTATTTTTTTCTAATAATTGTATTTTTATTTTTATAATCATTTTTTATTTATTTTTTTTACTTTTTTTATATGATTCTGCATAGTTTGTAGTATTTCATTTTTTTTTTTTTAATATTTTGCATATTTGTAATAGATTTTTTTAATAAAATACTTTCGCTAGACTTTTGTTTGTATGAAAACTTTTCCAAAAAACATCTAATCCTGATAAGCTATCCAAACCTATAAACTTAAAAAAAGTGAAGGAAATTTGGATGTCTACAATAAATATTCAGTAAGAGTTTATGCTCTGACATACCTCTGAATAAATTCGAGCATGCATGCAGCTTCATCCTGATAAGCAAGTTTTAATTTGTAATAGGTCACAAACAATGCTGCCAGGCCCTCAACAAATGCCTCAGAACGTGGGCCTAGGACAACTTCCCTTTCAACTAACAACATCCACTTGCTTGGGGTCATGGATTCACCTGTAAAAGAAATACGGAAGGACATAGGATTAATAAGTGTTGTAAAAGTATGGTTCATGGGTAGCACATGTTAACTAATAAAGACACTGATACTATATAACTATAAACTAAAAGATAATGAAGATTACCCAGGTGAAAAAGACGTAGTATTAAATGTATTAAAAATATACTTGAAATTCAAGTAGTATGTTTATAATACATTTGTATTCCCAACATGCTTATTTGAAGTGCAATAAAAATATATTGAA